TGCAAGTCGCATTGTTTTGTCCGCTAGAGCCACCTTGCAGCAATCAGGGACGATGTTTCAGGAGTCCTGCCGTTAAATCCGGTTTTGGGGAGAATCCGACATCAAAATAAAGTTCATCATCTTAAATGGGTGGGAAGGGCTGTTGCAATATGTGTAATCAATCTGGGTCTAGTGAACCTAATTACAAGCCATCTATCACGTCTTCAGGTTGTGGAGAGATGAATGACCCAAGGATATGCAATAAGCAGTGAAGATTATGTTGTCAAGTATAGGCAGACGTGGGTAGTGATTAGGGATGCAAGTTCAATGCGGATCTTGCTCTGGATTCAAAAGCAATCGTGCATACTGATTCAGAAGTAAAATATAAGTATCACTTTACATAACCAACACTTTTAAGCTTCAAAACCAGCGATTAGTTCATCTTGAAACTTCTTTTGAAGAAGAATACCTGCTCCTTGCAGAAGTATTCGGAGCACTTTCAATAATAATTTTACTGTACGATCTTACCTTCGATAAAATGAGCAGTGAAATGGTAGGGAATTTTCAGAAATTATTTTAGCTCTCGGAGTATTGCTGTATGTGCTGAATTCATGGAGACTAAGTGACTGTGTATCCCGCTGATAACAAAGTATCTTTTATTCGTGATTCTTTAAAATTGAAATTATCAGTTAAGCAGGATACCGCTTTTTGATAAAGTTTTAAGATTTATGCTTGCATTCTGTGCTGACTTTTAATTAGGTATCAGACAGGCAATGGAGAATTGCAAGTGTTGAGTATTCGCAAAAAAGACATGATGTCTGCATGTTTCAAACGTTTTGGCATAACAGTGTTTTCAGTTGCACCGAAACAGTGCTGGGAATTCTTTGTTCAAGGGAAATATGCAGTTAAGATAAGAAAGTTTTAGCCGCGAAGAATGGTTTTAATTCGCGTTATAACATGCATAGCAATTTACCAGTCTGTTTCACCGTTGCTCCCCCTTCCCCACACTTAAGGGGTGGCAAATCGGTCAGTAAATTTATGACGTCATAGACACCGCGTTTCAAGGCCGCTGTTGCGGTTTCCGTCTCGGCGGTGATTCCTATTCCAAGTGTGTTGTTCCGCGCAGTAAGTAGTCTATTTTCGCATGCATTTGCGGTTGTTTAGTTATGCTTCTCATGTTTTCTTCTGGAGTCCATTTCTAAGGTTTTTCCCATTGCTTCACACTTGTTTACCTTTGCTTGTCCTTTGTCTTTGCTCCGGTTGCCATCTTGTTTGCTTCTACTTCGACCCTTGAGATGCCGGGTTCGATTCCGCCAGAGTCCATTGTTATCCAGACTATAAACTTTCCGTTACATACCTCCTTGTATGTCGTTCTTATTCTTGTTTGTTTCGGCCGCCGTCTTGTTACGTATGTTCTGTTCTTCACCGTAAGAGGTTGATTGTTATCTGTACGTTGTTTTCTATCTTTGTTCTGTCTCATTTTTGCTCACGTTCAAACATCAAAGTGAGTATTGCTGAGTACGGTGTGTTGCTGTCTTGTTTTCCTTTCTTTTCAAAAGTTTATTTTTTGAGTTCTCTTTCGTCATTTATTTCCGTAAGTTAGTTCCTTGCCCTCTCTGCTTTCTTGGAGCCCTTTGTATTCTATCCATTGTACTGCAGCTGCTGACCCGTCGCGTCTGATCTAATCACTCCGCTGCAGAGTACGCAGTGGCTTGCCCCATCTTCAACTCGTTCCTTGCCACATGTTCTCTTTTTGTATTCTGCGTCTCAGCTGATATTCATAAGCACCTTTTCACTATGCTGGTGACGTTACCTTGCTGTTTAATCGTCTAGGTTTTGCTGTAAATTTCCTTTCGTTAACTCACTCCGTAATTTGCTTTCCTTTCCATCATGTGTTATATTCTTCTCTTTGACCTGCTCGTATGTGTTCTCTCGCCGTTTGTTTATTTGTTAACACTTGCTGATTTTGTACGGCTGTTGCTGTCCCTCCGCGCTTGCGATTTTGCGGAAATTAATTTCTTGTCTTCTGCATGTTGCGCTCATTGCTGTCATCTGGTCTCGTTTTTCTCGCCACTTGTTTTCATTTGCTACTACTTGTTTGATGTAACTGCTGCCTCGTGAAGAGTTTTTCGGCCCTATTGTTTCTAAACACAAATGGGTTCCAGTCTCTTACAATGTTTATGTTCTTCGTTATGCTCTGTCGTAGTTATTGTTGTGTTATCTTTTTGCTTTCTGTCGCTTTTATTTTCAGTCGCTTCTGTCCCGTCATCCGATGTCCGACCGTTTTGCTTTTTTGTAAGTAGTTTCTTCTTCATTTGTCATGTCCTTTATTGTGATTTCACCCTTGATTGCGTTCTCCTGGACGTGTGTTTCATTCGATATCTTTCTTCCAGTCATGTTTTTGACCACTTTTCTTTGTGTGTTTCTTTAAAGTCCTGTCTTCGTAGTCTTGATCCAGTGCGGCTGTTTTCCAGTAGTGTTTTGTCTTCACATCATTAGCATTTCTTCTTTCTATCTGATTTTTTCCCTTCTGACCTTATTTGACTTTTTTCGCCAGACTTTCACATAGTGCTGTTCGATTATTTTTCGGACCTTATCTCTGTTCATGTTTTCTCATCATTTCTTCATTCTTTCTGCGTTGTACCCATACATGCCGTTACGAGCACTATTTTTCCGAAACTTGTTAGTTGCATTCTTCGGAATATCCTTGCGAGATCTCTGCGATATTTTTGGGGGTTCTCTTGTGATTTGCTCTTCCAGCGCGATCCGCTGTACCCGTCGCTACAACGTATGGTTTATGTATATTTTGTGCTGCGTTGTTCATTATTTGTTACTTTTAGCGATGCTTTTCATTTTTTCCTATTGCGTTCACGTGCATTTCTACAGCTGTCGCTTCGCCTTAGCTCCTCATTTGTTGTGTAGTTTTATCCGTCTTTCGAGTTGTATATCTGTCTGAGAGTCTGTACTATCATCGTACTCTATCCTTTGTTTGTCATGAGTATTTCACATGCCGTTTAATATTAGCGTTGCGAGCATTTATTTTTGACGTTCTTATTCTGAATAAGTTGTGCTTATGAGCTTATGCAGTAACATTTTAAACGTTTATGTGATTATGTTCTCGCTTTCTATTTTCTTTTCTTTTAGAATAAAGCTGGTGTGTAATTAAGTACCTATTCATGTATGGTTTGTTTCATTCTGGATTGTAAATATATTTAAATGAATTTCTATATTTTTCGCAGTTTTCTTGAAACATTCCAAAATAAATAAAATATGCAAATAAAAAACAAATTTATCTAATGAAATAATTTGAAATCTAACTTCAAACCAGTGATTCGTTTCCATTGCAACTTTTTAAGGGACTTCGTTTCTGTTAAAACTTCACAACTGAATCAACGAGCACACAAAAGATTATTGCATTTCTTTGCTTTAGCCACCGCACCAACTTTACAACCGACCCTTTCACGCTTTTGCTACTAGAAAGCAGTGGGAAGTGAACAAGTGATGCTCTAGAATTGTGGACCTGTCAACGACAGAGTTACGACATGGGATATTTGGTCAATTCTTGGCATTCTTTTTCGACATACACTGACTCGTAATTTATGTAATTCGGTTTGGCACGTGATGCTTGACTAATATGCACGAAATGAGTTTTGTAACATCTATACGACGTCGTAACATTACGAGAATTCTAACAAAATTATCAAATTGTTGAACACGAGCTGACGAGCTCCTTTCAACTGATTTACCAAAACGATCATGTCCGCACATCAACGCTAGCTTCGACAGATCACTGCGGCCACATGGCTGCCGAAGATTATGCCGTATTTGAAGAATTCATGACAAATGTAACGTAGGTTAATGGTCACGTTATTTGTGAAGTAAGTATTAATTTCAGTGCTGAGCGAGTAGAACAGCCGCAGATATCATGCCCAAATCTGCGAGCAGAAACTCTCAAATTGTTTCGCGATAAGTAAAGTAAGATCAGTTCAAGTTGTGTAGAAGAAACTACATTGTCAGTCAGTATGTCATCTGATTTGTCAAGCAAATTGCGGATCGGCTTTTGTATGAACCTTAAGCTTTCGATATCCGTGAGAGTGACGACGCAAAC